ATTTCAATTAAAAGTTTCTACTGGGAACTCAGAATTTCCAATTTCCCAGTACAAATGGAATGCAGCAATATTCATGGCTATTGGCCTGGATAAATTGATTAAAAGATCTATGAGATTAGAATGAAAACTAGGTGGCCTATCAACCATGCATACAAACAGAAGTACATAAACATCTACAGTATGCGCACGCGCACGCACACACACACACACACACACGCACACACAGAACAGGTGCAGCTACATGACTGTGGACGGGATGCAGAGACAGGATATTTTCCTGGCAGTGCTTGTATTTCAAGCAGCAACGGTTTTAATGTGTGTGAAGGAGAGGGAGCAGATGGAGAGAAGGCAAAAAGAAAAGAAAAAGAAGCAGAATGCAGGAAACGCAGCACAAAAGCTTTCAGAGAAAAGGAAAAATTAGAAAAAGGAAGAGGAAAGAACAGGAGAGATAAAGTGCCACGAAAGCAGATCCATGAGAAACTGCTTCTGTGATGCAAATCAACTGTACGCATGATTTTGTCCCTCATTATAATTGATTGATTTTCATGACAGACGGTACAGAAACGGAGCACATCAAGTCTGTTTAATGGACATACTGGTCTCAGAGAGGGTTGAGTGCACAATGTTCAGTCTACATCTGTAGACTACATCTGTACATTTATTCAACTGAACAAAATGCCATTAAAATGAACCAGTTACAATATTTTTAAAAGGCCACAAATCTAAATAAAAACCAGTTCTTGTGTTACAATCGAGCGGCAACCTCCCGCTCTCTCTCATGAAGCCAACAAGGAAGTGACTTAAACTGTAATTCATCAACTGGCCGCTAGAGGCTGGCTGCAAAAGGGAGTCAATCCCATAGACTCCCCATGTTAAAATGCCCAACTTTACAGCAGAAAAAAACATGTTTACAGCCTGGTTCAAAAAGTGGTTTTAGTCTATATAGCTAATTTTGTCCTTCGTGACAACTGTGAGGGGGGTGAATTTTTTTATAACTCATCCGTTTAAATTATATTAAGCCTTAAAGTTCTGCATAATTAAGGGCGTGGCCACTTGAGTAACAGGTGGATTTCCGCTGCTGTCACCACCATCGAGCTAGGTGGGTGTGGTTTCAGTAGCCAGCTCCCGCCTCTTTGCCCATTTTCGATTATCCGGGAGTGACGGGCGGTGACGTGCTGCCAAGATGGCGACGGCTGGCTTCGCCTACTTTAGGCTTCAAAACGCTCGTCGGAAGTCTACGGGTTATGTCATGGACACTATGTCCATGTTTTTATACAGTCTATGGTCACAATACAAACTGGCATACCTCTGTGCCACCATTTGGTCAAAGACATAATTTGGCCATTGCAGTATGGTCATTTGGGCATTACAACATCCATAGGAATTCAAATGTGTGAATTGAGCTTTCATGGACATGACTTAACAAAACTTGACGGGGAAAAAAAAGACAGAAGAAAAAGGGAAAAAACTAAAGAGGAAACCAGAAAAACATCTGATGCAGATTTTTATGTCCTGATGTTGTGAGGGTTTTTGTGCCATACAAAGTAATTGGGGTCCACTGTTGTTTTGGACCCTAGTGTTCTTCAATGTTTTTTTTTTTCCATTTTGTACTTCACAGAATAAAGAAATTCATAAAGGTTTAGAAAGACATGAGGGTGAGGGAAAAACATACTATCTCTCTCACATTTCTGGTTTTGATAGTCCTGTCCCACCCTCCCTGCAATCGCCGTCCAAAGCCACGCCCCCTGAATGCATTTACGCTCACAGACCAGAATATCAGAGACAACATTACTACAATAGGCTACATCAGTGGTTCCCAATTCCAGCCCATGTTCCGAAGTGAAGTAAACTTCAACGGATTTCCCCCGCTCAGCAATGAACACTGTGTAGGGATCATATAGATCTGAACAGTTCATGATGTATCCTGTCTGCGCGAACTGGGTGCGCAGAGGTATGCTAATACATACGCTGAAAGTAGGGGTGGGAATCTTTAGTCACCTCACGATCCGATTCGATTCCGATTCTGGGAGTCACGATCCGATTCCAGAACGATTCTTGATCTACTTTTTCCCCCCTTACCGACTTCAGAATCTTAAAATCCTTTTACATATTCCTTAAATAAGTAATGAAGTACTTTTTAAAATAATTACAAATTGAAAAAAATTTAAACAGTTGTGTTAAGAATTTTAAACTAATATAATTTCAAAACATACAAGCAAGCAGCAAATAATAAAGAGGAGCATAGAAACATATTACAAACAAAGAGTGCTTTCCGTATTTAAGATTATCTGAACGTTTACTATTCAAGAACTGCGAGTGATTTTCCTTCATCTTTACTGTTTTTTTTTTACTATCATAGTCAGCAGGAGATCTATTAAGCTGCATTCACGCACGGATCTCTTTTGAAATATAAGTAGTAATGTGGTTTGTACTGTCCGTTTTAATCCCTTAAGACATAACTGGCTGTTTACATTAATTGTGCGTCATAAAACCATTTTGAGACGCAAGTGCATTAAACCACGAGTCGCGCACAGTCGCATGCGCGAGCAGTCTTAAAGCGCACGCCAGAATTTGAAATTGAAAGCAGCCTTCTATTAGTGAGATTCATATTTTAAATATGAAAGTCCACTGCATTCCAAACCACATAAATGATGACTTCGTAGAGCTTTAAGGAAAATACCGACGGGCGAGACCGCACACTTCAAGTGTAACATCAAACAAACCGTGCGCCTCTCACAGCGCATCCGGTGCAATGAAGCCCGCGAATGTCCTTGTAATTCACTTCAACCTTTCCTAACTTTATGAAAGATTATTTTACGGAAGGTTCGAGTGGTGTATGTGTTTGAGGAATTGGAAGCAAGCAGAATACGGGTGTTTCTAAAGCAAACTCAGCGTCATCGCACATCTGGTTAAAAACTATAAGCTCAGAATCGATTCTGAAATTCTCATAATCGATCCCAGAATCGTTGGAGAGAATCGCGATGCAAAAAATGTTTCTTGTATATTTCTCAAGGGTATCATCATCTGTGAAGAATAGAGGCCTGCGGCCAGTACGCATTGGGTCTGGAGTATTAATCTGTAAAAACTGTAATCCTGACTGATTAAAGAGATGTCTCTCTGACTCACCAACTCTATTTATAATGGCCTTGTTCTCTGCCACTTTATCTTGCAAAGACAGAAGAATACAAAACTTGTAACTAAAGAGAAAATACATCTAAATGTCCCACATTTTGAATTAGTAAAACAAGACAAATGACAAGCTGGCTATGTGACCTAGAAGGTTGACTGGTAAAACCAGAAACCATGCTGATGGGGAATCCTCGATAACTGTAAAAGAAAAACTGCTTTTCAAAATGGTCTGAATACATTAGATATATAAACAGTATTATGCGATCTAGTGATGAGTATTTCAGATTTGATATATTTAGGTATACACATTTCAAAAGGTGGCAAAGTCAAGACAAAGCAGTTATTTTAACGTCTAAAGTCTTAGACAGACGGACATCCCAGGAAAGGCAGAGGAGAACAGTGCCAAACACCACACTTGCTTTCACTACAAAAATCCATATCCAAAGATGGACAGTTCATTGACAGAAGGACCTTCTGGAGAAATTGTACATGGAGTACCTAATTACAAATTCCAACGTAATCGTTCCTCACTTAAATCATCATACTATTTAAAACAAGATGCAAATATCTTTAAAAACACAAGAGACTGAAACATTGATTAATGGTCTCTGCGAAATGCCCCATGGGGCATTTAGTGACTAGGTCCACAATAACTTTTGTTGTCGATTAAAAATAATAATAATAATTTCTGAAAATGTCATTTCAAACCTGTATGAGCTGCTTTCGTGGAACACAAAAGAAAAAGTCAGAGGAATATTCTTGCTGCTCTTTTTTAAATATAATTAAAGTGAACAATAACTGGAAATGTCCAAGACCAATAAATAAATACAAATAATTTGAATCTTTCATTGTTTACACAACATTTTGACATCAATCCCTTGGTGTGTTTATGTCCAGTTAGTAATAGAATCTTTTTAATGTATCAATTTTATGCAGTTCACAAAATCTGGAATGATTAATTTACCAATCAGATTCTTAAGTTCAACTTATTCAATGATTTGATTGTCACAGTTAACAGCCCACTAGAGAGAAGATTTATCAGAGCCTTGTATGGGGAGAAGGTGGTGGATGGACCACTACATCCCTTTTTACAACTATGGTATTCAACATTTCTTATTTTGTGGTCCACAACATTTTGGAAAGACATAAGGGTGGGTAAAAAAACAATTCTTGAGGA